TCTGATGGCTTCACATATGCTGGGTCGACTAAATGCTACTGCAATGACTCATGTTACTTAGGGCTACTTCCAAAACGTTGACATGCTCAAAGGTTTTGAACTTTCCTGAGGCACTATTTTATGCTACTAAACTCGTCCAAGGTGCTGGCACAATCTTCAATTAAAGCAGTGGAATAGACCAATTTTTGGATGATGCAGAAATGATGTTAATGCATCAATAGCCCAAGGGACTCAAGCCAACTATCTATTTCGAATCTTAGTATACTTTTAAAGGGCTGAAATCCCACATTCTTTAATTTATGAGAAGATTTCTGTGTTCTTCTATCCTCAGTGATCGTGATTACACAAAAAGGCATTATATCTTGGCTGTATCTTGGTTCTATACTTGTTTCATACCCTAAACTATTTAACTTTTGTCTTTACCAAGTGGTTCTTACCACAAGCAATCTTACTTGCATAGTTTGTTGCATTTGATTCTATGGATAAGAAGTCAACTCCTTGGAAATTGAGCTTTCGTGTGTTTATCATGCTAGAGGGGGAAGCTTCACATTCTTTTTGCTTAGATGATACCAATGATATGTAGTCACTTCCACCTATGATATGCATTTGAGGATGCATTTCTTTTTCTTCTCAATATATTGGCACACTGAACCTTTTTTCCATCGTGATTCATCCTTGTTTGTGTCAAAATTTTTATTTTACACCTTTGTAGTTTACTTTCATCCAATATGACTGTTATCTTACTTTGACAGAATGTTATATCTGACAATTTTCAGGTTATGCCAATATCTGGATTTCTTGTAAGCAAACTCTTAAATCTGCCATCACATTATGCAGCTGGTTTAATATTGGTTGGGTGCTGTCCCGGTGGTATGTGCATTATCTTGGTCGTTTATATTTGAATTCCCTCGTCCGCCTGTTCAAAGTAATTTCTCATTGTTTGCAGGTACGGCTAGTAACATTGTTACTTATCTTGCACGGTACATTGGTTCTCAGAATTTTCTGACAGTTCATTCTTAATGCATGCCGAGAGGATTAGTAGATCTAATGATCTATTTGTTTTGCTAGAGGCAATGTGGCGCTTTCTGTTGTAATGACAGCTGCAAGCACTTTTGCCTCTGTGGTATAATGATTTCTGTTTTAATTTTGATTCTTGGTTTGAAGGTTGACAGGAATGTGCTATCTTAAACCTTTTGCATGTAAAGGCATAAGAATTAAGTATTATCATACTGACTTGACATGTTTGATATGATATAAATTTGACATGTTCTGTCTTTAACTGAATAGTATAACATAAAAAAATTGTCACAAGTAAGGAAAAAATCATCAAGGAAAAGATCTTACATGAAGCTTTATGGATATATTATCACTGGGACTACTTTATGTGCAATACATATGCTAACTTCTCATGCGCAATTCTGTTGTTGCAGTAGGGAAAATGGGCTTGTTATCTTTTAGATTTAGTGTATGCTAAAGGTTTCCATTAAAGCTTATTTTCTGTTTTCTGACATCCACCAATTTTTTTTTTTGGGTTTGAGGTCATGACTCCTTTTCTGACAGCAAAACTAGCTGGTAAATATGTAGCTGTGAATGCAGCTGACTTGCTGCTATCAACTTTGCAGGTAACATTGCATATCAAAATTTTCCTATTTCTATATCTGCTTTAATGCCTTTTCTTTTTGTTCTTTTTTGAAATATTTACATGACGAGGATTTGAATCCTGGTCACTACCACATCCCGTTTCACCCTTAATAACTGAGCTAGTCTCAAAGTGACTTCTGCTTAGGTGCTTTTATCATTGTCTCTCTTATTTCAAACAGGTTGTGCTCCTACCTGTTCTGGCTGGTGCTTTTTTGAATCAGTTTTTCCAACCTATTGTTAAATTTTTCAACCCATTGATGCCACCAGTTGCTGTAGCAACCGTGGCAATTTTATGTGGACGTGCCATTGCCCAGAGTTCTTCAGCAATCCTCATGTCTGGAGGACAAGTAATTCTGGCTTCCTGTCTTCTTCATGCTTTTGGGTTTTCATTCGGTTACATACTTGCAAGGATGCTGGGAATAGATGTGTCTTCATCACGAACAATTTCCATTGAGGTTGGCATGCAGGTAAAATATTTGGCCACTAGAATACTCTAGTAATCAATAGTTAGTAAGGTGTCTTGGATTCAAATTTTCCTTCTGTCTTGAACCAGAAAATAGAAATCAAAACTTGCCCCTTATGGTTGCGCCCAAAATCAATTAATTACTTATTAGTCACTTAACCAATCAGTGGTATTTTACGTCTGAAATCAATGAAAAATAATGACATGAATGTTAAAATGATGAACATTTCGTCATAAAATGTCTGGTTCACTGGTAATATTTTCATTGTTCTGAAACTATACCAGGATATTTTGAAAAGACCAAGACTATACAGCTGTTGAGATTATAATTAATGATATTGTTATTTCAGTTTAAATCAATGCATCAATATATTTTAATATATGAAACAAAACTTATCGATTGCATACTCTTCTTTAAGTTATGAATAGTGCGACTCATTTCTCAAACTCCTGCATTGCACCAAAAAACAAGGATTTTATGTGTGATAAAACTTTGACTAGGCCTATAATCAATAGACCACAAGTATTGCTACTCATTTATAATATTCTGTGTGATACATTAGCAAATGCGTTTGGTGAGATAAAAAGACTAGAGGTTGATTATAGGGTAATGAAACATACTAGTATCACATATGCAAGTTGAATGGGCAATTGAGCACTTGTGGACGTTAACTAATATGCCTATTTTTGTGGCTTGTCACGTTCAGAACTCAGTGCTTGGAGTTGTGTTGGCTACAAAGCATTTTGGGGATCCGCTGACAACAGTACCATGTGCAGTTTCCAGTGTATGTCATTCAATCTTTGGGAGCGCATTGGCAGGAATTTGGAGACGCTCCGTACCCTGAGTGAAGAATTTTGTATGTAGTTAGTTGTTGAATTTATGCATTAACTTGTTCATATGGTTGGGGCTGTTTCAAAGATGTACGTTATACTTTTCAATCGTCAGTTAGAATTGCAGCTAGGTTGTTTAATTACCTTTCAGTTCAGATTGAATTATGCTTGCCTGCTATCAGCATGGATAGATGGAGTTTGGACATAATAATTTAGGTGATAAATCTAAGCTTAAACCTGTGAGCACATTTTCACAATGAAAAGAGGTTATATAGTCATATATTACCTCTAGTTATTAGCATAAGAGCTAGTTAAAGATTGAATTTAGTCCTAAATATAAAAGTTCAATCCATTGTCTTTCAAATTTATATTGTTTTCTCTAAAATATTCCTATTGATTGTAAAGGATTCATACTAAAAATTATTCCAATGTATATGATTAAATATGGTAATTTAAGAAAGTTTACATACATTTGTTATAATTAACTAACTTAGCTAATTTTCTTAATTTTGCCAAATTAATTATTCAGTTTTTATATTAAAAATTGGAGATAGTATAAAGTAATGTCTTATTATGGTCAGTCGGTCACGTCCTTGAAGCATCTGAAGATACTTTTTGGAAGAACATGACATCTGAAGGTATAATAACCCCCATTAGGTGAAAGAAAGTATTAGTTCACGGAAACTTTATGCATTTAGAAGTATGTTGCTTTAAATGAGAATGTTAGTTTCAATAACCAAGATAGTATTGGTTCATCAAGCACTATGAAATTTTGTTTCTTCATTTAGAAGTTATGTCATTTCAAGAGACATCATTTCATTGTCTGTAAAATGTCTCGAGAATTCATTTCAACACAAATTTATTGTATTTGCCTTTAAGTGCACAAAAGATAAAAACAAACCATCACTTATTTCTTGATAATGTAAATCATACTGAAGATTTTGATTGTATTTTGAAAGGAATCTGTGATATTAACCCAACTTGCACCTAAGATTTGAATTAGACAGGAATGAGTTAATGTCTCCCAAGCCTTTGTGTTTTTTTTTTTTTTTTTAAATTTCCTGTCTTTTCTATTCTCAGCAAAGAAAAAACCATTGCCACCGACAAATTTCAACCGAAGAAGAAGGTTTACTTTGCTAAATGCTAATTACCAAAACCATCTAGTTTTGTGTTAATTTCATACGGGAAGGTTGCTTTTAACGGTGGTTGAATTATAAAAAGTCCACTATTATTATTACTGACCAACTTTAATTGTTAAAAGGTTTCATTATTTTAATTTTAATTTTTTTCTCATGTTAGAGCTATAAAAATTTTTAAGTAATATTTATTTCCATTGTAATTCTTTTTTTCACAATTAAAATTAACAAATAGGCTATTACTTTAATTACCCACGCACAACGATTCCTGGTGGACAGTGACTCAGTGAGCATACGCGATTTGTGTGGCCTAGCATTATTTTAAAGTTGAATTCTTAAATGCTTAAGGAATAAATAAAACAAGTTGGCAGAAAAAGAACAATGATTTTACGTAGTTTCCAACGCAAATTTATAAAAGTTATTGTAAATTGTAATCGAATGACTGATCAAATAAAAATTTAATAATATCTCATTTGTCGTGGTTTTCTTTCTTAAAAAACATTTTTATTTTGTCATGGTTAAATGATATAATTAAAAATTTTAATTTATCTAAAGAATTATTCATGTTGAATTGCTTAATTATATTATTAATAGATATAAAATTTATAACAAAATGTAATTTCTTCCATATGTATAGTTTTTTTTTTTTTTTGAAAATGGCTTGAAGACTTGAAAACCCGTGCCTATTGGTTCCGGTTCTTCTGAAAGACAAAAACCGAACCAAAAAAGGGCGGTTTTTTTACCCAACGCAACAATTAGCCAGCAAATCACACTATTTTTGGTCTCCCGCCATATTCAAAAGCTTCAATTTTCTCGTTCCAATTGGCTTCACCGCTCTGTTCAAACTTCAAATTCCGAAATCCCAAAATGAAAATTTCACTCCCTTCGCTCCCTCTCAATTTCCAAACCTCTATTTCCTTTCCTTCTCTTTCTTTCAATCCTACCTTTCCTTCCCTGCCTTTGAATCTGCCGTCAAACCCCACAAACAAACCCAGAAGCCCCTCCTCCCATAGAAAAAATGGATACCAATTATCATGGCTTACCTCCCCTCAAGAGATTCAGACTCATCCAACAGCAACAAGAGCTCCAGAATCAACAGCGACATCACAATCACGGTCGCAAAACTCAGGATGAAGGCGCCAGTGTCTCTGGCTCAACCTTACCGGCAAAGAAGCGTAAAGAATCTCGAGATTCAACATTTCTTTCTGATTCGGCAGTTTCAGTTTGTGTCAACACTTATTCGTTACCGGCTAAGAAACGGGTATGGGCTCTTCAACCTGATTTTGGTTCCGATGTCGGCGTTTCTTCTATTGACCTTAATGTTGAATACAAACCATCGATTGAGGAAGAAGTAAAATCAATAGATGATGAAGCGAATGATACTGAAATTCCACCTGTAGCAAATTCCCTCGATGTTGAAAATGAGAATGAGAATGAAATTCAAAATACTGAAGATGTTGATGAAGATGATGAGGATGGGATTGTATGTGCTGTATGTCAAAGCACAGATGGGGATCCATCAGATCCAATTGTTCTCTGTGATGGGTGTGATCTAATGGTTCACGCCGCATGCTATGGCAATCCGCTTGTAAAAGGAATTCCAGAGGGTGATTGGTTCTGTGAAACATGCAGAGTTTCATCGTCTTCTGAAACTAAGAATGATGATGAAAACAACATTTCTTGTTGTCTCTGTCCTGCAAAGGAAGGGGCTATGAAACCTACTGTAGATGACCGGTGGGCCCATATTGTGTGTGCTCTTTTAGTGCCTGAGGTGTTTTTTAAGGACCCAGAAGGAAGAGAAGGGATTGATTGCTCAAAGGTTCCCAAGAAGAGGTGGTCTGAGAAGTGTTACATTTGTGAATCTTCAAATGGGTGTGCCATTGTGTGTTCTGAGATCAAGTGTCCTTTGGCATTTCATGTCACCTGTGGATTGAAAGAGGATCTTAGCATCGAGTATCGTGAAGGGAAGAAGAGCACTACCATCGTTGCTGGTTTCTGCAGAGGCCACACTGAATTATGGAGAAAGGTACATTTTTCAAAGGAAACTTTATGTTTCTTTTGTCAAGCTAGGACATAAGTTTGGCGTGCTAATAGTATACAAGTTTGAATTTTGATAGATAATTTATCTTCTAAATGATTTAGCTTTTTGTTTGTATGATACTATTTCTTCAGATTTTTAAGTCAAACTTGACAATCCATTAACCTTCAATGTAATTTATATAATATATAATTTGACATCATTGATTCATGCTTGGGTTATTTGGAAATAATAAGCTGATATTTCCTAAAGTGACTAAGTTTAGCATCTTACATGTGTTTAGTGTATTTATATCAATACGATGTACGCAGTGATTCAGAGTTAAGTCAACCAATTGAAATAGAAGCAAGTTGAAACCAATCTGCCTTTCTTTTTGTCCTTTGGGCCAGGATTAAGCGACTGTTAATTTGACAATAACGTGGTGGATGAAGATGGGACAGAAATGTGAAATCAGATCACTTAAAACATGATGATGACAACCATCTTGGATACTATCTAGAGGGTCTAAATCAAGATTTTCATTGAACTAGACATGTGAAAGATATTTTTAATTTCCCTTCATTTGCGATATTATCAATGAATCCTCATGATCTATCTTATCTGTAAATGATTCTTATTCTATTTGCAGCAACAGCTATCTGGAAAATACAAAATCGTTGCTGAAGAAAACAAGTAGCAATACTAGTCACGGGCAAGTCCTGTGGTATTGTACCAATTTGAATGGTGCTAGTCGGTGTCCACAAACTTCACTGTTTGTTACTTCTTTCAGTTAGGCTTTTGACACGAATTTCACATTTAGGTGCTTCAGATTTCAACTTTCATTTGATCCTGTAGTTCTCTAGATGGGTATCTTTTGTGAACAATGATTCTCTGCAATGACTGTGCGATTTAGTAAAGAGAGAGACAATGAGATTTATTTGACATGTAAGCTTTTGACTGATCTGTTTTTTTTATGGGCCTGTAGTTTATTAGACAGAGTCTCTTGAGCTTGTTAAATAAAGTCTGGCTTCTGGCTTGTAGCTTGACTTGATCTCAATGTAACTACATTTTTGTTGAATGTTTTTTTTTTTTGGCCGAAAACATTTTTGTTGAATGTTGAAAACCAAACTTTTGATTTACATTTCGGAGATTAATTCTGACGCTACTGAAAGATGGTGGGCAAGCTGCAGTGTTATTCATTGATGTGCAAGAATTTAGTTTTATCTTTTTAATATCGTGGCCTGGTTTTATCTTGTTATAAAACTAAATGTTAATTAGCATAAAATGTAAAATTTTTTAACAAGCTTATATGTTGTGGAACATATTTTCAATAAAAGATGGCTTTAATTGGTAAGGATTTGGTTTGTAATTTATAAAGTTATAGGTTCAAATCTTGTTGACATGATAATTTTGTTGGTATGATATATAAGTATTTTTATAAGTATTTTTTGAATCCTAAACCACATATACAGGCTCTTAATCACAAATTTAAGCCTTCTGTGTCAAAAGGCACTCATTTTAAACTTTTTTTTTTGGTCATCCCGTCTATATTTATAAAAAGTCAAATTTACATTTTTACAAAAATTAAGAGAGATTCTTAGGGTCACAAGGTTAGAAGGCATGACAATTTTAAGTGATCCTTAACTCTAATAACCTCATCCGATTAGCACAAAACAAATACAAGAAGAAACGAAACTCCACGAGTCATGAACACCCTTGTTCACTCATTTGATTTAGTATCGTATAGGAAGACTAGAACTGTGTAAAAACCCGATGGTCTAGTATGATCCAATCCAACCTGAGCAAACCCGATCCAATCCGATTCAGAAAAAAATTAGCTCGAAACAAGACTGGATCAGACTGCACCGGACTGGTCTCATCAGGCTGGACTAGATTGGGGACTGGCCCCTTGGACCAGTTGGTCCAGTCCAGTCCAGTTTAGCCTGGTTTTTTCAAATTATTATTTATATAATTTTAATTTGATTTAATTTTTCTATATAAGTTTTTTGTCTATTCAATCTATTAACTTCCTAAGTAATGAGCATGCGTATATATTTTCTACAACATAAGATCTATATTAACGAGGATTAATTAACAAAACATGACATTATTGGGAAATTGAAAAGGAATGATCAAATTTGATGAACTTTGGATTAAAATATATGCAAAATTTTATATAGTAAATTACAATCTTGCCTTCTATGAAGAAAAAAATTTTTTTAAAAAAATTAAATTTAGTCCTGGATTGGACCAAATCTCGAGCTATCTTTTTCAGCCTTAGGTCTTTACTAGACCAGACTTCCAGTTGATAATAAACCCGATCCAATTTGGTCTATGCACACCCTTAAGGGAGACTATGTCAATTTTGTAATAGTTTTTTCCGTTCAAAATTTTATAATAATATTTGCACTCATACAGTCTCTCAAGTTTATCCGTGCTGTATTATATTTTATTTTTGGGGAATGGGACTTTCAAATCAATAGGGCAAACTCTAATGAACCTACAAATTCCAGAAGACCAACTGAATGCCCAAGCCTTGTTAAAGTCTTTAAACATCACCGGCACTTGCCAAAGTTATTTGTATTCATTTTCGCGTATGAAAAAATGTATTATTTTGATAAAAAATTTTACACTTATTCTTATTAAAGAAAGGGTATTAATAAAAAATACGTTATACATTTTCACCATTTTTTTATTATAATAAAGAGGGATAAAATTAAAAAAAAATGTTATTAATCACCTTATAAGTAATTTATATTTAGAAATAAATTTTGCTCCAATGACTTGCTTTTTAAGCCATGCATCTCAGAATTTTGTTGTCACGTACTGAACTAGTGAGCTTCAATTATGTGTCAAAGACAAGAGCATTGGAATCAAGAAAAGACTTAAAATTTATTAACTTTATCTAAAGCTTAACAATAATTTTAATTTCGCTTTTCTTGAACTTATCATTTCAGAAGTCAAAGAGAAAAGTTTGAAAAACACAAACCAACATTGAAAATATATATATATATATATAAAAGATCGAGCAATATGTGAAAAATGCAATAAATATCCTCATATAATATGGTGTAAAAAAGAATCTATATAATGTATGCATATTTTTTTTCTATTGTATTATCGTTTCATTTATATCATTTTTTTATACAAAGAAAAGATTTGTTTCATTTATATCATTTACAAAAGCTAGCTAGTTGGGATTATCCACTCGTTCGGTGTCATCTAGCCTCATTAACGCCGGCTTTTATGACACCTAATTAACGCTCCGAGCTTAGAGAGACTCTCATCCGTGGTGAATGAACAAGCACATAATAACTAATTTACTGCAATTAAAAAAATTAGTTAAATTAATTATTTGTAATAAAAGTTCTTTTAAATATTCCCTTTAATAATTTGCATTGAAAACTTCCGTTGGTTAAAAAAAAAACTTATTTTAACATTTGCAATCAATTTAAGCAAAAAAAAAAAACTATTTCTGATGCTTAATATAAGACCTAGTCGACTACTTCGAGAAAATTATTAAACTACTTGTATTTATCATTTTTTTTCAAACTAATTTTTCTCATTTATAATATATAATTTAATGATATATATAAGTATTTTAGAGAGATCTGGTGATTTATTTTTTTGCTAACGAGATCCTGTAATATATACTATAGTTAATTTAGTAACTTTCTTAATATTTCTAAATTAGTCAATAGGACCGGAAGTGGTAGAAGACACATTGAGATCTTACATCTAAGATCAAAATAAACCTTCCGACTAGCTGTTACATTTAAGACCAGAGAAAGAATATACAATGCCAACTCACACTCTTAATTATACTTAAAAATATCAATCAACAATCTACGATATCGCAACTATAAACTTCACCTATTGACATCAATTTAAAAAAGAAAGAGGTATAAATAATGGGAGAATGGGTTTTTCTGAGAAGTTTTCTAAATCCTACCAAACACGGCCTTTAAGTTTGTCCAAATTGAGATTGAGTTATAAACTTAGTCGGTTTTGCATTCAAAAGTCAGAACTTACCATCCCAAAGCAGCCCAGTGCCCACGGCGTTGAAAATTTTTCCTTTTCCCTTTATTTTAAAATCCTAATCATTAATTAATATCAAACAACTCTTCATAAGATACGTACAAGTAAAATATTTGTACATTTTGGACTTTCTTTCATTAATAATCTCGTTATTTTCATCCCTATAAATTAAATACCTTATCCTTTCTTCTTCTCCACAAGACACAACTCAATCCAGCATACGATACGATGAGGATGGCTTCAAGTTCAGTCCTATGCCTTGCAATTGCATGGCTTCTCATCATGATGATGGCCACGTCAGCCCTATCCCAATCCGATGAAAACGCCACCGTGCTCGACACAAACCGCCGTCCTGTCCAATACGGCCTTGAGTACTACATCAAGCCCGCCATAACCGACTCCGGCGGCCGCTTCACCCTCATCAACCGCAACAGCTCCTGCCCTTCCTACGTCGGTCAGCTGAACACCGACCTCGGAGAAGGCCTGCCGGTGACCTTCATGCCGCACGCCGGAGAAGACAAAGTCGTGAGGGTGAATAGGGACTTCAGGGTGGCGTTCTCCGCCGCCACAACATGTGTTCAATCAACACTATGGAAAGTGGGAAACAGGGACCCGAAGAGCGGAAGAAGACTTATCGTGACTGGTAGGGCCCTTAGTCGTCGTGATTATAGTAACTTTTTTAGGTTTGTGGAGACACAGTTCGAAGGAATCTATAATATTCGATGGTGTCCTACGGAAGTGTGTCCTACTTGTAGGTTTGATTGTGGGTTTGTTGGTGGATTACGTGAGAATGGGAAGATTCTGGAGGCTTTAGATGGTTTTGTTCTTCCTGTCGTGTTTGAGAAAAGGACATAATCGTCATGATCATTATAGTTTTCTGAATCAAAGTTGTTAAAACATTTCGATGATTATTATAAGCGGAATAAGTGTTGGGGCCTGTTAATTCATCCTTATAGGATAATACGAGGATGAAACAAATATGTTCTGTTTCTTTATTGTTGAATATCATAATAAAGATCTAAATTATCTTTTATAGTCTAAGATAGGTTAAAGTATTTGTTTGGTTCTATAAACTCACATAAACTTTTAGTCTAGTTTGTTAAGTTTATAACTGCAATTTTAGTCTCTTATTTTTAATACTGTTAGCCTTCTTAATCCAAATGCTTATTCAGTGAATATCAATGGTGGCACTGTAATTAAATGCAAACATGTTAATCTTTAATTTAAAGTTTATAAATTGAAAACTTGTTAAAAATAAACCTATTAAAAGATGCCATTTCATATAAACTTTTAACATCAAGAACTCATATTTTAAAATAAAACAAGTTTACTTATTTTATATTAAGACTCAACCGGAATTAATTTTAATAAAACATAAAAAAAAGTTTTATGAGAATTTGTCTTTTTGTTTCAATAAGTGTCTAAGCGATGAGATTAATGATGATAATCCTCTAGTTAATATCAACCGCGCAAATATATCGATTTTTTTGTGATTAAAATATATTTAAACCATTAAGTTATTAATTATGTTATTATATAAATTGCTGTAAGATTATATTTTAAAATGATAAAATTTGAAAATAACGATAGAAAATTTCGTGATGAGAATTTTATAATGAAAATTAGCAATGAAATTTTTAGGTTACTAAATCCGTCGTGAAATTGGAACCACTTATTTTTGGAGTTAGTCGCTGAAAATACATTCTGAAAAACTCTTTTCTTATTAACGAAAACATTAATCATTTTAATAATGTACTAAATCTTCGATTAAAAACCAAAAGACTACACATCTCATTGCTAAAAATTCTGTGACTTGAAAATTTTATTCCATCACTAAGTTAGGAATGAAAAAGTTTCATTGCTGAAATTTATGACTAAACTAATTACGAAATAGAATTTCATCACTAATTTCGCTAATAATTATCTGTTTTTTTTTTGGTAGTGTCACTTTTATATCCTTTCTCTTCTTCATTTTCTGTTGGCATCTCCCTTTATCTCTTCTAATGGAGATTGGGTTTGCCATAACAGATTGAGGGAAACATCAGTATGCCTAATCCACCTTTTTCTTTGGATAATCACTTAAAGAAAAATACTTTCATACAAATTAAAATAAAATTACTTTCATATATTTATTTTAAAATCGTAAAATCACTCTTGAAAAGCTATTCCAAACAATTTTTAAGTTGATGCTCCGAGTCATCTAGACAAAATGAATCCAGATACATCCGGAAATTCTTTTGAAATTAAAACTCTGTCGGTTTTGCACTCAGAGTCAGAACAATGACATAAATGATTTATCATCACAAAGCAGCCCACGTGGTTGAAAGTTTTCCCATCCCTTTTATATTTTAACATATCCTAATAGTTATATATCAAAGACCTCTTTTACAAGTGAAATACTTGTACATTTTGGACTTTAGTTCATTAATAATCTCTCCATTTTCATCCCTATAAATACTTCATGACTTGTATCCTTTCTTCTCCACAAAACACAATCAAACCCACATCGATTCAAAGAATCAATATGAAGCTGGTTTCAAGCAGTTCAGTCCTATGCCTCGCATGGCTTCTCATCATGATGATGGCCACGTCGGCCCTATCCCATTCAGATGACAACGCCGCCGTGTTCGACACAGATCGCCGTCCTCTTCAACGTGGCCTTGAGTACTACATCAAGCCTGCCATAACGGACGTCGGCGGCCGCTTCACTCTCATCGACCGCAACAACTCTTGCCCTCTCTATGTCGGCCAGCTGAACACCGACGTAGGGGAAGGCCTGCCGGTGATCTTCACGCCGTATGCCGGAGAAGACAACATCGTGAAAGTGAACAGGGACTTCAGGGTGGCGTTCTCGGCAATCACGCTATGCATTCAATCAACAGAATGGAAGGTCGGCGAGAATGACACGACGAGTGGAAGAAGACTTATCGTGACTGGTAGTCCCAGTGGTGATCGTGATTATAGTAACTATTTTAGGATTGTGGAGACACAGTCCGAAGGAATCTATAATATTCAATGGTGTCCTACAGAAGTGTGTCCTATTTGTAGGTTTGATTGTGGGACTGTTGGTGGATTACGAGAGGATGGGAAGATCCTGGGGGCTTTGGATGGTAATGTTCTTCCTGTTATGTTTGAGAGGAAGGCATAATCGTCATTATCATTATAGTTCTGTGAATCGAAGCTGTTAAAATATTTGGGTGATTGTTGTAATAATTAAGCAGATTCATCCGTATAGCATAACAAGAGGATGAAACAAATATGTTATGTTATTTTAGTGTTGCAGACAATAATAAGGTTGTCTTTACTTTATGATCAATGATATAATAGTGACGGTCTATATGAAATTTTAGTCATGATTATATATTAATGGTTAGGTAACAGTTTCTTACAATTATAAACAAAATTGGATTATTTTATTTATAATCATGCTGTCAAGTCAAGAAAATTAATTAATTTGGTAATAGATTGTCTCATGCATGATAATGACATTATAGTAATATATTTGTACTGTTCATTACTAATTTAAACTAATGACAATTGACACGTAGGTACGTTCGTTTGCTTGCTACTTGTTTTTCCTATGCTCGAAAAATAAATTCCTTGTCAAATGAAATCAATTGAGATGATATAATTTTTTTTGTAACTCATCTTCCACCATACATATTTACTCATCATACTTCTCCGATGCTTGTTTAGACTTTAGCTTCTTTTTTCTTTTTTTTATGTGTTCATTATGATATTTATTAGGATCTATTAATAATTAGTATCAGAGATGGTTTATAATTAAGCGTCCGTTCTTGCATTTTCAAAACTTTGAAAATTACTCAATATTTTTTGTTTATTAACTGTATAGGCTGTATTAAAATCATGCATGTAGTAAAACTTATTAGCTAGTCGCTTGCCTGTGAATGTTTTGGCCTTGAAAAAAGCCTAAAATCATGCATTATTGTTTTGCTTTTTCTGTCGTGTGCGTGTGTGTGTGTGTGTGTGTGTGTTATCATCCGGTACCTTACGCCTTTTCTGAATCCCAATATTAGATCTCCGAGCAACTAACTAATTCGGCTTGGGATGGTGGCTCATTTATCATCCGAATGTACACATGACGACATACTTATGTCAGTACATGCTTGGTTTTGTGCCATCTATTGAAAATCCATTCTTATTTACAATGGACCTCTTTTAAGCTTCATACATAGAACCTGATATTTGGGCTTTTTTTTTCCGTGCAATTTGTTGGGTTTCATATCTCTTCGATGTTTTAGTCTTCTTGGCCATTTCCCTTTTTTTTTTTTTGTTAAATTAATGGGATTTAATTTAAACTTAAAAGCTCAAATTGAGCTCATGAAATTGGGAGGTTATGTCTCCAAAAAAAACTTTCGGCTATTTTTGGTTCTACGGAGTGGGGTGAGAGGGAGGACATGTACGTACTTATAAGTTATCATCATTATGCCCTTATATTTTGATTTTATTTTTCTTAATTTATTCATCATAAACGCAAATATTAATCACGCTGAAGTCTCAAGTTTATGCTGGCAAAAAAATTAAGCCTGAAGTTCATTTATAATTTATTATATTACCTCCGGTCCAAATTATAAGACCTCGTTTGTAGATTATAAAGAGGTCTTGTAATTAGGACTATAGGTAGTATTATATTTTTTGGGGATTGACGCTTGGGATCAAAAGGGGAATTACACTGATATATGTGAACCAACAAAATCCAGAATGCTTCAAGGGCCTTTGAACATCATCTTACGTCACATAAATTTCCAACCCATACACCTCAGAATTTTATCGTCCCAAGGGCAAAATCCTTCAAGCAACATAGAGGAAAAATTGGATACATATACCAATACAATATATATATATGTATGTATGTAATATAATATCAAGTTAATTGACCTTGGTGCCACGGAAAAGTCTCAAGCTTATCTAAAAGTACGTAGTCTATGTTTTATTGTTACAAAGGAAAAGTCTATTGAAATTAAAGTGGTGTTTATCCAGACATGAATGCAATTTTTTTCTCTCACGTAGTATTTTCAACTGGTCGTTTATTAGTGTGTATCAAAGGCATTCCCCAACTGATACTTAACATTCTTTTCGAGACTTGGAGATTAATTAATTAGTGGGCTTTGCTCTTTTTCAACTGAATTGAAACCCTAATGATGTGCACAAGGGATTCAATTATTTACCAACTGTGCTATATATACTTTGTTAATTATTTCAACACTTTTTGAATGTGGATTTAGATACAAGTACACAAGTATTAAGTCCGCTTAGAATAGCTTATAAGTAACTTTTTAATTGTGATTTACAGCATACAAGGTACGTATGTGAGATGAGTTTTGTCTCAATTTATATGAAATGTGTTTATAAGTATTTTTCATCACTATCCCAAACGAGCCCTTAATTAATTGGCTTATGCCTTAACATTTTAAATGTGTGTGTGATTTGCTTTTAAATGTTCTCCCTCATAAAAACTACTCCATGAATAACTCTACATTATCCAAACTATAAATTAACATGTTGAAATTAATCTAAAAACGAAAACCCTAAATAGGTCAAAAGGTTGAGTTTTTCATTACAAAAAAAGTATAACTTTGGATTTTCATCCAAAGTCAAAGGTGTAATGGACACAAGCGTACGGCTCATCAAAATTAGCTCACGGCACATGCAAAACTCGTCTACTTGTCAATTAATATATCAAAGTCGACGTAAGGGAACGTACAAGTAAGATATTTGTACATCTTGGACTTTAACTCATCAACCTCGTTATTTTCAACCCTAACCATATCCCTATAAATACCTTAATTATCCTCTCTTCTCTGCAAAACACAAATCAATCCAACATATCCATAACCAAAAACCCTTCCTTTTTTTAAAGAATCAATATGAAGTTGGCTTCAAGCTCAGTTCTATGCCTTGCATGGCTTCTCATCATGATGATGGCCACGTCAGCCCTGTCCCAATCCGATGACAACGCCTCCGTGCTCGACACAAACCGCCGTCCTCTTCAACGCGGCCTTGAGTACTACATCAAGCCCGCCATAACCGACTCCGGCGGCCGATTCACTCTCATCGACCGCAACAACTCCTGCCCTCTCTACGTCGGCCAGGTGAACACGGACTCAGGGGAAGGCATCCCGGTGATCTTCACGCCGTATGCCGGAGAAGACAACGTCGTGAAAGTGAACAGGGACTTCAAGGTGGCATTCTCGGCCGGCACCATATGTGTTCAATCAACAGAATGGAAGGTCGGCGGGAGGGACAGGACGAATGGAAGAAGACTTATCGTGACTGGTGGTACCAATGGTGGTCGTGATTATAGTAACTACTTTAGGATTGTGGAGACACAGTCCGAAGGAATCTATAATATTCAATGGTGTCCTACCGAAGTGTGTCCCACTTGTAGGTTCGATTGTGGGACTATCGGTGGATTACGTGAGAATAGGAAGATTCTGGGGGCTTTGGATGGTAATGTTCTTCCTGTTGTGTTTGAGAGGAGGGCATAATCGTCATTATTGTTATAGTTTTCTGAATCGATTTGTTTAGTATTTGGGTTATTGTTGTTGGAAGGAATAATTGGGGTCTATTGATTCATCCTAATTAGCAGAATAAATGGATGAAAAGAAGATATCATGTCTTTTGTTGTAATAATGTAGCATAATGAAGCTCCAAATTGTCTTTTATGAGATACAGTGGTGATATTTAATTTAAAATTTTTTTCATCATTTTAATATTTAAGTGGTTTTATAAATTTTCTTGGAAGTATAAAAAAGGAAAAAAGACATAAAAGACCTTTGATTCTAGACTAAATCATACCTTAAATTAAAATGGGATTTCAAACACCTCAATTGAAGAATTAAACTCCCACCTTTTCTGAGTGCTTTGGGATTCTTCGTCTAGGGGAATTGATTTGGGTTTTGTGAATGTTGAACGTATTTATTTGCGTCTTTATCCTATAAAAAATTGAATTATTTTATTTAGGAAAAATTTCATATAGAGCCACTTGAAATAGGAAAAATATCAAACCTGGTTGGCAAATTCAATAAATCTCTAACTGGTTGATAAAGACAATTTGAGATTTGTGAATGTCAGGTATTTCACCACATTATACCTCACTTTTCAATTCAGTAATTTATTAGTTCCCCTTAGTGATTCACTGAAAATTTTTTACAATAAATTAAGTTATGACTGAAGCTTTTGTGCTGTCATTTGTCATTTGTCATTTGTCAGACGTGAAATATGTCACTTTTCTCCTCTGTGCAAAACAGACGTTAAAAAAAGATATTTATTGCGTCTCTCTCCCGAAGGGTATTATTGCACAGGATGAAATGAACCTGCCCTTCTCTTCTCTTGGGCTCTTGGCACAATAAGGTCGAGACGAGATCTGTTGTGTGTTTGTGAGGCATAATCAACAAATTATAGTTATTACTTTATCTTGGTTATAGTTCAATGATGGTTAAAAGTAAAAATGAAAGAACATGAAGATGAAGAAGAAGAAGAAGCACTCTTGATCGCTTCTCGCCGATTATTTGGCCATCATATATACTTCCCCTCATCGTGCAAAATTCTGACCCCATCATCTGGGATTCCTCCGTTTTCTGAACAACAAAGCAGGGTTGAACTTTCCAGAGAAAATTCCAGAAGGAAAACACAAAGAGGAGAGATAGGAGCGGTGTATTTAAGTTTGAAGCTTTTAGACCCATTTTGCCCTCTTCTCTTCAAAGTCTCTTTCTTTACCTAACGCCATCTTCAAAATCAAAAAAGGACCACCTGCCCATTTTTCAATCGAACTCAAGCTTAAGACATTCGAATACTTATGTATGAAGCTAGAAACCTGGGATGTGTTGTCTCATGCATGGCCTGTCGTCGATAGATGTTTTCCTTTTTGGGGTTTTCCTCCCTTTGTCAGAAAGATGTTGTGTTGGAGGAAGAACAATTCTACCCTGATCCACTTTTTATCCTAATTATAAGATCCCATTTATAGTCTACAAATGAGATCTTATAATAAGGATAGGAGGTAGTATATTCAGACCAAATCACTCGCATTCGTCAAAAGAAAAAGAAGAACACATGAGCTGACAAAATGGAGGGATGAAGTTGGACCTTCAAGTTTTCTGTTTTCTAGCAGCAGTAGTGACTAGTGAGTTATATTCATTTGAGATTAAAGGTTAATTAGTGTATTATTGCCATGTTAATGATGATCTGCATTGGTGGAAAATGCCCAAATTAGATAAAGAACAAAAACAATGACAACGACGGTGAGAGAAGAACAGTGATGACGATTTTAGTAAGAGGAAGCGATGAACGTCAAACAGTTACTATGAGTCTTTAATAATGTTAATGAAATCTCCCTTGTTTTATTACATACATGATAGTGACTAGTGAGGACGCTATACATATTAATTCCAAGAAAAGAGCAACTCATAATCTAAATTAAATCCATTATTGCTACAAGTCTTTCAGTTCATTTAATTTATTGTTAAGTTGTAATATGAAAAGGGCAAATTTTAAACAGATTTGAATGTTAATAATATCGATTTGAATATAAGTCATTTATTGATTATTTAGTTGTGTTAACCAAATAAGAACTATTTACGTGTAATTTCAGATATCACCCAATTTTGGATAATAAGTACATTAAATATGATAGATAGAGCATCAAATTATATCTAAGATTTGATTATAAATTAGGCACTCCTATTAATTAACTATAAGATGCAAATTTGAAAGTCTAATATATTGATCGGGAGCAATCAAAAAATATGTTAACCCTTAAATATACCTCCATAAATGATGGCAATCAAATCAAATCAAATAGAGTCGGCAAATATTTGAAATTTTTTGCCAGCCGGATTGAATTTAATCTTTGACAAAAAAATTTATATTTTACTGATTAAAAAATGATTAAGGAAACAGCAACATGGAGGAAGAAATAGCAATTTGATACTTCTCTAATTCTTAATATAGGATCTAATTGTTCAATTAATTTTAGTCTATATAAGACCTATTTCTCATATTTATTATTATTTTTTAAATTACCCCTATGAATACTCTTTTAACCATAATCAAGGAGAAGAAAGATGGAGGATATTAGAAAAGATGATTTATGGTGTTTTAGAAAAAATATGTCACATTTCTTATAAGTAACTAACTTACCTAACTTTCTTAATCTAATCAAATTAGTTAAATAGATCTTATATTAAGGACCGGAAGAGTAATAATTATCAATTTTTTTTACATTAATAGATAATGATAGATTATATTTAAGTATAAAATAACATAACCAGACTAGATTAATATAGTTTGAAATAAGCATCTCCAAAGTTGGGGCAAAAAACTAGTATTTCATGAAAAAGCCATCGACATTAAGTGGAGATCCCACCATGATTGCTAAAAATTTACGGGAAGAATGTTAAAATATTTGAAATTGCTTAATTACGTGTATTGCCTTTAATAAAGAATAATGGATATTTATATAGCGTGTGTGAATACGATTTGGGCTTCAATGACATCTCAAAAGCTCAAAATTAACACTAAAACAGAATTTAAATGAATATCAATCATCATCAAAGGGAAAATATATGATCACAGCTCACAGGTGTCCTCTGGGTTAATACTAATTATAATGTAATGTGCATTATAATATAAATCTCCCCGTATGTATACTTAATATTGCATTAACTATGAATATTATTTATCATGAAAAATGGTAATATTACCGAAAATTGCTTTATCCACAACAAATGGGAACTATGATATTATAGTGATTCACGAACTAAAAACATCTATATATATTCATCCCAATTAAGGTTAGCCTATACTTAAAACTTCCATGGCAAAATCTTTTTAATATATTTTCTCCCATAGTTATACTTCTTTTTATTAGATACAAATAACCAAATTATGTAAATTTCAGACAAACTATTAATCAGTATCACTTATAAATTAAATAGACAGAAGCCATCGCTTTAAAAAAAAAAAAAACAAAAGTTTTCTTATATATAGAATCAGAAGAGGGAGTGCTAAAAAGTAAAAACCACTCAATAAATAGCTCCATAACATCTAAAAAGTTCTGAACCATAAGTTAACATGCCAAGATTAATCTTTAAAAAAACCCCTAAATTTGTCAAAAAGATTTGAGTTTTCCATGAAGAAAAATTAAAATTTCGGTTGAGCATTATTTAAACTCAAATTAAGGTGTGATGTTACGTTTACATACGATTCATCACAAGCAAACCCTATCCATGTCCCTATAAATACCTCATCCCTTCTCTGCTAAACACACAATCTCACATACCAAAATCATCGATAATTACAAAGAATCATCAATATGAAATTGTCTTCAAGTTCAGTCCTTTGCCTTGCATGCCTTCTCATGATGATGGCCACGTTAGCCCTATCCGAAATACAAAACACCACTGGCGAGGTGGTCGATAGGTACGGCAATCCTATTCAAAGCGGAGTTAGGTACTACATTGTGCCTGCCAGATCAAACTCCGGCGGCGGCGGCTTCACTGTCATCAACTTCAACAACACGTGCCCTCTCAACGTTGGCCAGCAATCCAACTACCAAGGGCTAGGCTTGCCGGTGACCATCCAGCCATACACCGGAACCAGCTATGTGACAGAAAATACAGACTCCACGTTGACGTTTAGCATCAGCACAGTATGTGGTCAATCAGCAAGATGGATGGTGGGCCAGACGGACCCGATAAGTGGAAGAAGGCTTATCATGGCTGGTGGTAGCTATGGTAGTGGCAACTATACGTACTATTTTCAGATTGTGGGGACACAGTTCCGAGGAACCTATTACATTCAATGGTGTCCTACGGAGGTGTGTCCATATTGTAACTTAGATTGTAGCTTTGTTGGTAATATGGTTCTGAATGGGATGCTTCTGGCAGCTCTGGATGGTAATGCTCTTCCTGTTCAGTTTCAGAGGGCATAATCGTCATTATGCAGTTAGGTTTGTGAATCGAGTTGTTTAATGTTTGGGTTGTTAAAGTTATATTAAGTGGAATAATTGAGGGGGTAAGTGATTCATCCTTATAGCATATATTAAGAGGATGAAAGAAATATATGTATTGTCATGTACTATGAAGTTTGGATGTAATAAATAAAGCTCCCAAGTCCAAGGGACTTTTATGAAGGAATGATTGTTTGTTTAATTTTGCTTATCACGGTTATATTTTACTCCCTCCGTTCTCTTTTACTATAAGAGATAATTAACTAAATTATGTTGTTTGAAATGTTAGTTGAAAATAGTAAATATGTAAAGGGAAAAAAAATGCAACCTTTTTGCAAAAAATATTCCCTCCTATGTGATGGAGCGAGAATATGTGGGAATTAGGGGGTAAAATGGGAAATCAAAACACAAAATCTAATATGATATCTAAATATGTCTTATTAAAAAAGAAAGGTTAATATAATCTTTAGTCCTTTAAATCTGTATGAATTTTTATTTTGGTTCCTCAAATTTCAAGTCACAAATTTTGGTCATCAAAGGGCAAAATAGTCTAAATTTTTATTAAATTATAAGAACTTATGTTTTAGATGAAAAGAAACTTGAAAGACCAAAACCTATAATTTGAAACTTGAAGAATTAAAACCAAAATTGAAGCAAACTGAAAGGATAAAAAATTGTATTAACTCTATAAAGAAACGTGACATATTTTACAATGATATCTTATAAAAATGAACTGATAGAGTAATAGTTATATCATAAAATTATGGGTTTTGCCCTTCTGATTGAGCATTGCGAATTGCCAAAGGATTCATTGATTTGTGCTTTGATTTGTCGCTTTGCCTTTTGTCTTCAATGAGTTCCTTTCTGTTTCTTTGGGTCTGTTCTTGTTTATTTGTTTAGCTCTATGTTCTTAGCACAAAGATTTTGCACCTAAAGTTTTGTCGTTGCCCTATATTCTATTGAATGAAAATTAAATTAATTATTATATTGATCTTGTATGAATTTTAGAAAAGAAATGATGAAGAACAATCACTAAGTAATCAAAAGAGTTTAGATGGTGTTATATTTTAAGGTTGTTTTATACGTTATAGTGTAGTAACATAGTAGTAGTATGGTACAAATAATTTTTGAATTTGATAATTATATTTAGAACATTAAACCAAATGGATTTTTTTTCCAATCATAATTATAAGGAAAAATAAAAACAAAAGAAACCACCGAAACAGAAAAATTGCACACAAAGACCGGTTTCCAAAAATTTTTGTCAAAACTCATAGTCATGTTGTTGTGGATTCTTATTTGTAATTTTTCTATTTTGACAATCTTTTTTTCCATTTTTCCTAATTATAATATTATTTGCAAAATTTGACGCATATCAAATGAGCATATCAAATGAAACAAATATAAAAATTAAAGGCTGAATCCATGCCCCATGTTAGAGGACTGAGTTTAAGTTTTTGGGACAATCTCTGAAACACCTTTTGAGGCCCAAATGAGTTGGGCCTTTGTCACTTAGGCTCCACTAAATAGCCCCCATAACCAATAAATATAAAAATTATTAGGCTTTAATTTTTAAAAAAATGCAATAAGATTATTTTTTAAATTATAATCCCTAAAATCAATATTAATATTAATATTAATATATGGTATAAAATATAATTAATATATAGAAAAAAATTTTGTGGAAAAATGGGATTATAGACATAATGAAAGACATTTAGGGAAAATAACCTGAACAAAAATTTGTATTTATCTTTTGCGTTTCGGCAATTTTTTTTTTTTGTATTCTACAATTTAGATCTTTTCCCCGAAATATGTTTTCAATGGATCTTTAATCTCAATTTCCCGTTTTTAAATTTGTCTGGATATATATTTTAAACTTGCCCAGATTTATATTTTACTTGCATTTGCCGTATTTTTTTAATTTTTTTTAATTTTCATTTATACATAATCAACAAAGTTTGTTTCTAATTATAAAAAACTCTGATCTACTTTACCTCTCAATTAAAATTTTATTTTGTATATTATCTTCATTAATTTCACAATATGCCTCAATCCTTATGTCTCCTTTGTTAATTTAACTAATTTCATTAATTTTTATAAATTATATTATCCAATTTAATTTTTATCTAATCTAATTTTTCTAAAAGTCAAATTGAAAATATGATACTCCTCCGGTCCTTATTATAAGACCCAATTTGACTTTTTATTTGGTCCTAATTATAAGACCCAATCCATTTTTTCTTTTATATTTATGCATTTTTTTCCAAGATAATCCTTCTAATAATGATAGTTTTAGCCAATATACTTAATTAGCAAGGATATTTTAGGAATAACAACACTTATTTATTATAAATAACCAACTTAATTTACTTCCTTAATCTCCTCAAATAAGTCAATTGGGTCTTATAATTAGGACCGGAGGAGTACTTTTTCTACTGCCAATTTAAATGAACCCTAAATTGTTAGGGCTGCATCTCTAATTCAAAAAACAAAAAACAAAAGAAAAAGGCAACAAAAAGGTGCCTTCTAAAAAAATATATTCATCCGGTCGTTAATATTAGAGGTACTTTATAGTTTAATTTTTACTTTGTATTACAAAATGAGTTTTATATTAAAAACTGGATAGAGTATTTTATTTCTCAAATCAATCAATAATTATGATCAATCTCAATCATAACGCCCACACGATTTTCTTAATGAATAACAAATCCAACCACTTGTTTTCTTGGACCAGCCACGATGATTACATGATACTATTGAAACGAAGTATTGTAACCCCACCTCTTGAAATGCAAGTTTCTACAATCCAAGGACGGCCATAAAGCAAGTGACGGGAATTGGATGATAGGAACAGCGGGACCCTCAAGAAGCTAAAAGTCAGACTCACAGAGGACAACACAATACAGATACATAGATTATAAATATTCAGCCAAAAATACATAGATTATACATGGTGCAAAGCACCTTCAAAAGTCCGTGTAATATAAAGGCTAACATCTAGTATTGATAGAAAGAAGGGTCAAGGGTTGGTGAGATGTCAGGGAAGGCCATGGAAGAAGCAGCCAAGCCAAAATGGAATTCTCTGATTGTTCCGTCAGTTCAAGAGTTAGCAAAGAAGGAGATCACTGAGATTCCAGACAGATATATTCGTCCTGATCAACAACAAGAAATTATTGTTTCAGAGTCAGATGATTTGCCAGAAATCCCAGTGATTGATATGCAGAGATTGATCACTGAGGAATCAGCCAGTTCTGAAGAATTGGCTAAGCTTCACCTTGCTTGCAAAAACTGGGGATTCTTCCAGGTGGTCTCTTTTCTCTATCTCTACCCTCATCTTTTGTCAGTTATACTTCACTTGCATTACAATCTAAATTAATAAACAAGAAAGAAAGAAAGAAAGGACTAAATGAATGAATTTGCTTGATTTAAGATAACTATGGAATTGAAAATGAACAGAATATTGATTGACGACTGAAATACTTGGTGTAGTTGGTGAATCACGGAGTGGGGTCGCGGTTGGTGGAGAAGATGAAGGAGGAGACACATGAATTCTTCAATCTGGGAATGTCAGAGAAGAACAAGTTTTGGCAGAGAGAAGATGATGTGGAGGGATTTGGACAAGCCTTTGTTGTGAGTGAAGATCAAAAGCTTGATTGGGGTGACCTTTTCTTCATCAATACACTTCCAGTCCATTTGAGGAAGCCTCACCTATTCCCTCAACTCCCTCTTCCTTTCAGGTTCCATCTCTCTCTCTCTCTCTATAGATAGATGTATGCATATTTCTTCGTAGGAAAAAATTGATTTACCTCAAGAGTTGTTTTTAGGTTTGATGGGGGATTTTATATTCTCCTCACATTTTTCTTTCCTTATCTCCTTCTCTTTGCTAGTCAACACGGAGGAAGCCACACTATTTACAAGCTATGAACAATATTGGCTCATTTCAAGCTTTGCGCAAATGCATAGGACATAAAAGCCATTTCTGATCTCATTTCCTTCTCATAAATATTTTGCATGCCCAATAGATAATCTACATATATTCCTTATCAGCTACTTGATTTAATGCTGAATCAAGTTTTGAATACAGAGAAACTCTAGAACTGTACTCAGCTGAGATGAAAAATCTAGCAGTGGCTATTATGGAACAAATGGAAAAAGCCCTGCAGATGGAAAGCATGGAAATGAGAGAGTTATTTAAAGAAGGAATGCAATCAATGAGGATGAACTATTATCCACCATGTCCTCAGCCTCACAAAGTCATTGGTCTCACACCCCATTCTGATGCTGTAGGTCTCACCATTCTTCTGCAGCTCAATGAAGTAGAAGGCCTTCAGATAAGAAAAGATGGCATGTGGGTACCTGTTAGGCCTCTCCCTAATGCATTCGTTCTCAACATTGGAGACATACTAGAGGTATAACATAGAAAATAGATAATGTGCAGAAGGATAAACAGGGAGTGGGACCCACAACTTCAAAAATGGGACCTACCATTCCCTCTCTATCCCTCCATTTTACCTAAAGTGCATTCACAGGCTGAATCCATGTTACAAAGTCATTTATAACTAGGATTAAATTGCACTAGAAAAAGAGATAGTGAAAATCAATCTTTCGATCTCCAAATTGAAGAGTTTAATACTGAATTAAAGAGGCATATGCATCATTTTTGCCAAATTTTTCAATGATTCTCGTACCCACATAAGTTCTTTTCTTTTTCTGCATATTTTATATGGCAGATCATAACCAATGGGACATACCGAAGTATTGAGCACCGAGCAATAGTAAACTCTGAGAGAGAGAGACTCTCCATTGCTACATTTTATAATCCAAGATATGATGCAGAGATAGGTCCTTCACCAAGCTTGGTCACTGACCATACTCCACCAAAGTTCAAAAGAATAGGAGTAGATGAATACTTCAGAGGCCTATTCAGTCGTGAACTCCAGGGAAAATCCTATCTAGAGGCCATGAGGATCCAACAATGCAATGGAAATGAAGAAAAAACCGAGTGAATATATTATCAACAGACTTCTCACAGTTTCTGCATTTGTGATTTTAAATTAATCTTCCGTCAGGCTTGACGCCTAGGCTACTAAAAACAAAAGAATAGGCTTTGCCTAGATGTCTTATAGTTGCAGATGAGCAGATATCAATGACAATTTCTGCCCATAAAATTGAGCTGATATGTTCCATCTTCCATGTATACGTGTGTACAATCATATGTAAGTGTATGCATGCGCATGTGCGTGTATCTATCTGTGCATGTTGGTGTCCTCAAGACAATAGAAGATCATCAAGTCAAGATTGAGAGGAACAATTGATTTCTCATTAATCAATTAAATGTACATGTATATTTATACAAGAACTGCAACCTGAAGAACCGAAAAGGGGAAAAAGGAAAATGAAGAAAAAAACCTAAACCTGTTTAATGATTTAATCAACCTCCTACCATCCAACTCCTGACATGAAAAGCATAGCACCTTTCACAAAAGTCCTTAACCTATGACAATCCATACTGAACAGCACCAGAATGTCTATGAGCTCCGATGGCCACAGCTGCAGAGCCAACTGCACCAAAGTGAGATTGTGCCTGCTGCAGCTTCGTATCAACTGTAATCATGGGATTATCAAACCGGTCAATCGTGGTTTGTTGTTGGTATGGGTTGGAGTTGAGGTCAATTGCAGGCCTGGCTAGGTGGTGACACTGCTGGAATGGGACTTGACGCTTGCATTGTGAAAAAACCTGGTGTGTCTCTGATACAGTCTTCTGTGAGTTTGTCGGTTGAGGTCTGAAAAAGCAGTGAGGAGAACCAGCCGCTTGGGGAAGAGCATTTTGATAAAAGATCCTTGAATCATAAAAAGTATTTGTGATTCTCCCGTTTTCGTAGGGTACAACTGGGCCTACCACTCTCCCGGGCTTAGCTGTGGGAAGCGTTGATAAAAGCAGTTAATAATGTAGATAGACAAGCCAATAAACAATAGAACCAGCACACTCCCCCCCCCCCTCCTTATCTGCAAACAATAGAACCAGCATATTGAAGAATATAGAAGTCGCTAACTAGCTCATTTTGAATATGATGGATCCATTAGCTATGGGCCCATCATTTCCCAGCCTTCTAAGCTTCACCTTGGCCTCAAGGAGAGAATTAGAAGAAGAAAACCGTGGCTTCTTCCATAAATAGACCAGCATATGTTCCCAACGCCCCAACTCATATCAAGCTAAAAATTGCGAACTTATTTATTATGCTTGAATATGTGTGTGAAATTGATATTTTTATAAGAATTACACACACATGCGCGTCAAGACAAATGCGTTATTAATTAATGATCGAACTTCTGTTCATTTATACTCGTACATCAGAGTTTCGGAGGGACCAGTTATTAGGCACACAGGTGCTCAAGGCTGGAGTGTGATGACAAATTTTAACCCAACGGGATGGTTATTTTCATGGCATCTTTGTTATTCTCAACCCTCGGCTTCCTTCTATGGAGTCCCAGTTCGCTCGGAAGTTAGAACAATTTGTTGTCCTCGTATGTGTATACTTTTCTTACTTCGCCGGATAGATTTCTCATTTCATCTAAATATTAAGGAAGGAAATAAGCAACCAACACATTAACTACAGGTTATACCTGCTGGCGCTCTTGGCGGAGGCCGGGAACCCCTCCATTGACTTCCAGAATTTGATTCAGCTTCTCTGAAACTCTTATATGCCTCTTCTGCATTTTGTTCTGCATTTTGTTTGTTCTCGTACAAATTGAAATTTGGCTTTGTATTAAGAGGGACCGTACCCGAGTAAATAGCAGGCCTTCGAAAGGGATAAAAAGCAAATTTATTAATCATATGGATGGTATACGGATCAGAAAAACATTCAATTAAGAAAGAATTCTGGTGCAGGAAGCGGCCCAAAAAAAAAAAAAAAGCTTAAAGAGTTTTGCTAGTTTAACAGGGCTTTAAAATTGGACCTGATTGAAATACCTCATAACTTCACAATTTAGAATTTATTAAGTGAAAATGCAATTTAAGGGCCAGTTTATTTAAAATAAAAAAGGGGGGTTATTTCCTCAAGGTTTTCCTTCCCCATACTCTCCCATGCTCCCCCAACTATCACTTCTTTTGGGGGGCAAAAAAAAAAAAAAGTGGCCCATATGTTACTTTAAATCCAAAATTACCAATGAAGTAAACAATTTCAAAATCATCACAAAACTCCCTTTTTCTTTTCTATCACAGTTTCTGGATTATTATATGATGATTTCAAAACTCTTCATGTATATAGAAATAGAAACAGAGACTAGAAATTCCTATCTCAATGACACCAAAGAAAGGGACATTAAATGAATGGAATTAGTATATGGTGGATTATGATAAAATAGAGCCACTTTGAGGTTTCATATAAAATGAGCCAGGGAACAAACACGAAGTTAGGGACTTTGGGCTGCTTTTATGAGAATAAGCAGCTGTGATGGAATAAAAGAATTGATACGCCTTACTCTTACATTTTGAAGAAACCTCCTATAGAAGAAAATCTATCTCACTTTTATATTTGATTACTTTCTGATTTTACTTTATTTGGCAATTGGGTTGTTTAATGATTGTATCAAATGAGCTGCAAGTGGGATGTTTGCTTCATAAGAAGTAAACCTTACAGTGGCTTCTATAAATAGCGACAATGCAGCACGTGGAACGAGACTAGGATGATAATGAAAATCAATTTTGATATGGTTTAGCTACACTCCTCCCCCCCCCCCCCCCCCCAAAAAAAAAACCCGCACCCTTACTTTTGTCACTTCTCCCTTCCTTCTCATGCCCCTCCAGTTTCTTCATATTCTCCCTCCTTCTAGTCATATCTCTCCGTTCATTTCTCTGCCTAAACCCCTCCTACGTTCTGTCCCTCCTCTTGCTCACCATCTCTGTTAAGAAATCCACCTTCCTTTCTCCCTCTGTTCTATATTTCTGCCTCTTTCCTGCTCTGTCTGCAGTGCGGGTGTGTTACATCAGGCTGGTTAGGTTGTTGCGCACTACATAATGAACCAAATGATGTGAAGGTTTTGACTATTGGCTGTCTTCTTGACTGTTTGATGCTTAGCTGATTCGTCTACAGACCTGCCCTAGAATCCATCAAACCCAAGAATCCTTATTTTGCAAGTACTGTACACAAGCCCCAAAGGCCCAAACAACTGTATAGCTATGCAAATAGATCTTCCCTTGACCTTAGCTCCACCATACAGTAAACCATCAACCCACAATCTCTTTAACCCTCATGACATCGAAGAAAATTTAATCAGAACCCAACAAGTCCTAAGCATTCCCCACAACTAGACTGGCAACTAAACTCAACACACAATATATAGAACCGAGAAGAAAAGATACAGTTAAGAGGAAGTCATTAGCCATGATAAGTGCAGATTAATCTTACCTCGGAAGGGAGGCATGCTTCCTTTCTGGAGGAGTCACTGAGCCACCATTTTCCTCGAGATAAGCAAATTGCTTTCTGAATTGGCCTATTGCACTGCAAGGAATATGTACCAATGAATTATATCTAACATATAAACATCAATATTATATTCATAAAACTAGGTAATAGACATCATGTATAATCCGCAATAAATCATATTTCAGACCTAGGATAGAGAAAATTGCCTTCAGTTCCATTTATGTAATCTTTAAGCATCTGAGGGTGATATTCCAGTATTTCACGATATATTAATTCTCTAATATCCTCCTTTGTCAACCTTCGCCTCTCAAACTCAAATTCCAACTTTGAAATTGACTGACAAGAAGGTTCTCTCTCAACTTTGGACAAGCCCTTGAAATAAGGATCGGCTAGTGCCTGCCAAACACACAAGCAAAAATGTTTTTGTTTTCAAAATTAAATCAAACAAACATTCTTTTCCATTACAAGATCCACACTGGAAAGAACAAAGGTAACATGAAATAGTAGAAAAATAGATACCTCTTCAGCAGTTGGCCTATCTTTGGGATCAAATGCTAGAAGCCTTCGCAAAAGGCGCAGCGCCAAAGGATCTGCATTTGGAAATTTCTGCTCAAAAGGCACAGGCCGTTTTTTCCTCATTTCCATCAAGTATTTTCTTGCCTTCTCATTTCGAACCTGATATATCAAAATGTGATCAAACATACAATAACCATTAAATAGATATGAAAAATAACACAAAAGTTTATCACAACACAAAGTAAGACAAAAAGAAAGAAATAAAAGGAAAGATCCATACTCCTGAAATCGTATCTGCTGATGGGGTCCCAAGGAGATCAGTAATCAAATCCAATTGATGTACAACACTTTTACCAGGAAACAATGGCTTTCCGGTGAGGACCTCAGCAAAGATGCAACCAATACCCCATATATCAATTGCTGGTGTATACTACACACATTATGTCAACAAAATCAGTCTACTAAAGGACAAATTCATACCTCAACGAAGCAACCCAGATAAACAGGCATAACATGACACAAGTACCTGAAGGACATATAATTTAACTTCCAGGAAAGTTCAATTATCCTCCCTGAACAAGAATATTGATAACCTAGGCATCACTAGTTACTATAAGCACTCAGAAGGAATTTCATACGGAAACATGTACAACATCCTGCATTAGTCAAGCTTGGAAAATACGCATGCACTTTGTCAAACTTTCTGTACTCAGCAGTATCGACCTAATAGAAAGAATCAGCTAAATTCCTGAAAAAGATGTCATCTTATGGATTTCTATCATTCAAAGATTTCTTTCTGAATTTTAATTTCCTTCAAATGCAAGAATACAGGTCAGGTACCAGAAAACTTTTCAGGTAAGATTCTAGTGAATGCCTTGACCAGCATTTCCTCCTTCCAACTAAAGTTACAGAAACACCTCCTTGAATATTAATTTTACTAATTGCCCATGATATGGTGCAAGTAAATACTATAACGATTGTTCATAGCATGAGCAAACTAGTAAATAACATAAGCTGCTAACGTGTACACACGCATATAATCTTTATCTGCCTACAAGTAAAATAGCTAAACATAACTAGGACCGGAGAAGCTACATTATGAATGATCTTCAGTTTGCAGTCAAAAGATGTCTATTGGCACATGGCACCGGGGAAGTATAGAAACCGCAAAAGGATAGTAAGAAATCAGTTAAAACAAAATCAAGGGAATACTATAAATGTATAACTTTATATGGGTTACATTTCTCATGATCTTTCAATTAATAAACAGAATATAGACAATAAAAACAGCAAAGCAGTCATTATTACCAAATATAGGTCAAATCCATAAGTGTTTTAAATCTAAGAACCTGAAGGACATGAGAATAACTGGCTTGGTGGAAAATGTAATGATAGATTCAATCGTTCGTAAAAAAAGCACAAATGGCCTTCTAGCTAACAGGTTGCAACAAACTATAATCTTACTCTTCCGGTCCTAAATATGAGACCCTTATATACACTATATAAGGGTCTCATATTTAGGACCCAAAGAGTGCAGCGTAACAGAATAGAATGCTCAACTAATAAATTCTTGCCAAACTATACCTTAGAAGAGAATGCTCCACAGAGTTCTGGGGCCCTGTACCACCTAGTAGCAACATAATCCTGCAATATTTCCAAAAGAAAACCATGATAAAATTCAACGCACCTCATTAAATATAAATAGAACATTTATACCTTCAACATGCTATATTTGCAGTTCAAATTAAATCAAAATACATACTGTCCAAAATATTGTTGTAGGAGCATCATTGAATGCAACTCTTGCCAGTCCAAAATCACAAATCTTGAGTTTGCAATTTGCATTTGCCAGTATGTTCTTGGGTTTGAGGTCTCTGTGATACATATTTGCTACAATACAACGTAAGCTTAGTAAGTAGCACTTCATTTCAAATTATTGCCCGCACATCTTATTAAAATATACGAAAGTTAAGAAGTACTCATTTGAAAAAAATAAGGAGACATGGTAAAGAAAAAGATACCTGTGTGCATATATTTCAATGCACGTAGGAGCTGATAAAGAAAAAACTGATGATGTTCACGGGTCAAATCATCATTAGCTTTAATGACTTGATGGAGATCAGATTCCATGAGCTCAAAGACTACATAAATATCTTTGAAATCTCTCTTTGAAGGTGGCATCATTATCCGCTTAATTTCTACGATATCAGGGTGCCTTAAAAGCCTGAGTAATTTAACTTCACGAAGAATTCTAATGGCATCAGATGCATGGTCAAAAACATCGTGGATCTTCTTTATTGCTACTTTTTCTCCAGTGTGTGTGTCAATCGCCGCACAAACAACTCCATAGCTGCCCTTCCCTATAACTTCAAGAAGCTTGTATCTATTGGCATCCCCATACTCAGTGAAGAAACCCAATTCTTTAATATCCTGCGCATTAATAAATCTATGAAGACTTTTATCTTTAAAATAATCACCATCAGTTAACAAGAAAACACTAGAATCGACTAGCAAAGACACCTAGAATCAAATACAGAAACACTAAAATCACCAGAAGTAATGATTGTTGAAGCAGGCCAAAAGAAAAAAAATCAGACAGAGAAAATATCAAAGTCAAGTAGCTTGTGGAAGAAGGTAATGGTACTAAGGAATTTTTTTGGCTGGAGCTAATGCCATTGTCATGCTCATCACAAACACTTGGAAAGTAAACCGCTAATGAAAAGTGGGAAGCAGAAGACTTCTCCCCAATATCCAATCACACAATCCACATGAAACCGCATAATTACAATTGTCATCCTTCATGTTTGATCTTTTTTCGAATTGTTTTTGCTCTCCGCAACATGTCAGCCAAATTTTCATTTACATGATCATTTCCATCAATCAGATTGTACCACAGTAATGATTTAGCGCAGAGAGAGAGAGAGAGAGAAACGTGAATCGGAGAGCGAAAGAAAGGACCTTCTTGAGCTGATATTGCTGCATTTTGTTCTTCGTAATTTTCCTGTTCTTTTCCTCCCTAATCTTCCTTTACCTCGTATTGTCTTTCCACTTTCTGAAATATAAATAAAAAAGCGAGCATAGCCTTCACAGTAGAGCCACCATCATCTAATTCTCCTCACCCAGTGCTGCAAATCTCGAGCCAAAAATCCCCCTCGCACTATCGCTTGAAATCCCTTGGATTTAAAATCACACTAACGCCAACAACCACGTTTTCCTCTCTCAACCACTTCCTCACACAAAACCCAGATCAAAGATCGGACTTAGACGATTCAAAGTTGCAAACTTCGAAATTGGGGTTTCATTGGATGAAACCCCAGAGAAGGAAGAAGCTGGGATTGGAAGCGGTGCAACAGAAACCTCCTTCTTCAGAGGTTCTTAGCGCAGGGTAAAGAAAAAGCCAAGAGATTCCCAGGAAAGCAGGAAGAAGAAACACGGGAGAGAGGAGAGAATTGTGCAGAAGGTGGGAGAAAATATGACTGATCGTCTAATTATTTATGGATTGATGTATTTATTTACGAAATGAAAACGGTCTCTGGGTCCTACGTCGGCAGCCGTATAATATATAACTAAATTAAATTGTACTACAACATAATGAGCCTGATTCCCTAACGGCTTCCTTTTAGGGAAAATCAACATCGTATTCGTAGGTATGCGTCAACATATTTTTGAAACAAAAAAAAATAAAAAACATGGTCGGAAGGTTGACGCGTGGCAAGTTAGAAGTAGGTAATAAGAGTTGAAAAGAATTCGGGTTGGTTTTTAGGTAATTCTAATCCGTCGTAGTCAACCCGTTAACTATTATTTTCACTTTTTAAATATATTTTTTTGTATAATATAGAAAAAAAATATATAATAAAATTGTTATCTTTTCTTCAGATAGTTAATTAAAAATACCAAATAAATAATATAATTTTTTTAGATAGGATATAAAATATAATTATGTTATTATAATAATTTATAAAATAAAAAACAAATATGGGTTAAGCTAAGCAGTATGGGTTAAAAAGTTTCATTTGCTGACAATTTAACTTTTAGCCAATCATAAACAATCATTTTTTTATGGATTGGTTGGGTTGCATCCATAGGTCCAACACATTAATAGCTCTAGTTCAAGGCTTATAATAATATAATTTATTATAAAATACCCAAAAAATTTAATCATTTGATATTTATAAATTTGTCTCAATTAAAATTTAATCTCTAAGAATTTTGACTTCATATAGTTCAATCATAGTTAAAGTACACATTCAGTTCTTTAATTTTAAATAAGAATTTATTTGGTGTCTTGACTTTAAAAAATACTACATGCGGTTCTAAATATAAGAACCAGCTAACACTATAAGTTAGCTTTTATATTTAAAACCAGAAGTAATATAGTTTTAATATTTTAACTCTAAAATCATATTAAATGATAATTTTTCCTAATAATTATAGTTGTTTTAAAAATTTTGACTTGATATAATTCAATCACTATATTTTAGTTAATTATAATTTTATTAATTCATAGTTTTTGATTGATATTGATTAGTGTTGTCAAAATTCTTAATGAACTTTTCTCGGTCCTTAGTACTCCTTATTGTATGTGTGCGTCTCTCTCTCTCTTTTGGTCAAAGTATGCGTGTGTCCCTATTAAACTCAAATTAAAGTTTAATTTGCTAATTTATTAATAGAATATTTCATCAATATCAATATGAAACATAAAATGTTTAGACTATATATCATAGTAGTGTTTAAAAGTTCCATATAAATTATTCTGAATTTCATAGAAATAAATAATGCAGGAATACAATGGAGATACCTAATCTCAATTCATTATAGAAATAACAAAGATTTTTATTTATGATTTGAATCACTTCAAAGAAACTTCAAAAAGACTGACCAAAAAACAACGTGCGTATTCTTTTTTTTCCTTTTATGAAAAATAAATGCCTCTTTATAGTGCATATAATATATGCTTTAATTTTCTTGCAAGTATTCTTTTTCCTTTTACTAGGCTAAAGAATTATTCGAGGAAAGGAGCTCGTATACGAGTGATAATAAGATTTGGAGTAAAGTATAAAATGATGATGAATACATCAAGTTTAAATAATTAATATGATTTCAATTATATGTAACATTAGCCAATTATTAGCTCAAACTTTTAAGGTGATGCTAATAATACAAAGGTAAATGGAATTAGAAACTAGGACATGTCCCTATAGTTTTATTTTATTTTTAATTATGTAAGGAGTTGATTAAAAATCAGGTAAAATTATAAGAATCTAATTAAAATCAGCTGAAATTATAAGGATATTATAAAAAGAAAAATGAAATCTAATTGAAAAATCAAGTGAAATTATATGAATCTACATATTAATTTTCTCCAGAAATTATATATGGATTTCTAAGACTCTCGCACTTTTTTAAAGCAGAAATTATACGTCATTTAAGGCTTCACATATGGTTCGAGATACTTGTCTTGTCATAAAATATGATACAATTAATCAAAACAAATACTTGTTCAATTTTAAAATGACAAATAGATAATTTTAATATAAACATGTCAAAACCATTACAAGAATAGTTAAAACCATTTTAAGAATAGTTAGCATGACCTATATATTTATCAATTTGAAATTTAACAAGTATTTTTTTTGGTCAATTTCCCTATTGGTTAATATTAAATAATTATAAGCAATCACAGTAAGAAAACCAGGATTATGGATTATATGTAATATGATTTGCTAGAGTAAATACTAATATAATATTAATCTTTTACGTCTCTTAAAAGCTGGGTTAGGTACCCATTAAAGGTTCTTTTTTAAAACTTCATATCATATCATATATATTATCAAGAATAATTTCTTTATTAAATAATCAATATGCTATTGGCCAGTAGTGCCTTTTGCTAATTAATTATTTGTTTAGAAAGAATGTGTTTTAATTTTATTTTATATTATAAGGCCCCCGCCCTGCATTGTTTTATTTTTGTCGAAAGTAATGATATCAACTTAACCAAAAAGGAAATAAAAAGATAAAGATCCACATGGTGCATTTAAATAATACATTGACATGGAAAATAAAATAAAATTTGAGGGCGTCGATTTTCATTAAATGGAATGTTTTTGAAATTGAAATGATTATACTATCTAATGTCCTCAATATAATATTCAGTTACCTAATTTGAAAAGATTAAGAAAGTTACTAAATTTCTATTCAAAAAAAATATTAAATTACTTAATTATAACATATGTTATATGATCTCTCTAAAATATTTATGTGTATCATTAGATTATATGTCAGTTTATATGAGACAAATTAGTTTGGAGAAAAACGATAAATATATATAATTGAATACTTTTATTGATCTCTCCAAATTAATCAATTGGATTTTATATATTAAGAACCAGAAATAATATGATTTTTTATGCGTGACAATTATCTAACTCCACTAGAAATCTAGAATGTTCAACTTCAATTTGGATTTGATCCCATATTATTATTATTATTATTCACTGATTTGATTTGTTTTTTCCCGGTGCAAGCTAAATTATTGCTTCTCTTTCTTTCCTTCCCCCACAAAAAAGATACTTTATGATGTTATTAGCTTAAAATTAATGAAAATATTATTTATGAAAAAGGATATGTATTAATTATGATTAAACATCTCTTTCATGATTTCTGTAATTACAAACTATTTACTTTCTATTGCAAAGATGCTTCCTGCAATGAATGAGAATGGACAGTCAGACACAAAATGAAGATAAGTTTTCAAGGTTGAAAAAGCCAAAAAAGTTTTAGGATCGATGAGTGCGTATGAAATGTGAAAACCTCCATTTCTATATTTAGATTATTGTACACCCAATAAAAAACTTGGAGGTTCAATGAAAGTTATACTATTTTTTTCAACAAATATCCAATGCCAATATTATTAATTATCTTATATTCGAAATAATATCAAAAGTAACTTTACATATGTTTTAATTCGATTCTTTAATTTTTTTTTTAAATATTTTTTCGGTTCTTCGACTCTAACACACAGAGTTACTATTAAATGATTTTTTTTGTAACAGTTATTGTTATTTTAAAATTAAATTTAACATGTCAACACCTGAGAAGGTTTTATTATTAATATTTAAAATTTTAATGCCAATATTTTTTTGTAAATAATGTTAAAGTTAAAAGACCAAAAACACTGTATGTAAAATTAAGTTACTACCTCTGATACTAATTACAAAAGCTAGTTGACTAATTTGAGGAGATTAAGAAAAGAAGTTAAGTTAGTTATTTGTAATAAATAGGTATTGTCTTTCCTAAAATATCATTATTAATTAAGTGTGTTGGCTAGAATTATCATTGTTAGAAGAATTACCTTGGAAAAAAATGTATAAATATGAGAGACAAAATGGATTGGGGTCTTATATTTAAGACCAAAATAAAAATCAAACAAAGTCTTATATTAAGGACCGAAGGTAGTATTACAATAAAGACTTGTATCAGGTTAAAGGAGTAAAAGTGTCTTTTGAGCATTATTTGACCTTAAATATAGATTGTTTTATATCTCACTAGAACTTTTTATCCACAATATTCAAAGTTTAAGACGATGTTTAAAGAAATTCAAATTCTTTTTATTGGAGACATTTACTCATTAATAATAACAATAACTTGCTTATTCTGAAAAGTGAAATCATCTTTGCCGACAAATACAAGTTTTTTAACCTTTTGGGCTCCAACTCAATGTTTATCCTAGCGGATAAAGTAGCCTTTTATTTTCTAGTCTATAAATTCGATTGTATATTATTAATTTTAAAATAAAATATGATATTTTTTATGAGCACCCAATTTTATTTCAATTTCTTCTGTTTTTTTCTCATTAAAATTTTTAAGTAAATTAGTTGAGGAATATTTTCATCATGAAATAACCATTATCTTAGGTGAAAATTGGAATATAAAACAGTTGATATACGGACAAATTAACTTATTTAAATCCATGTATCTGAAAAACATCACATAGTATTTGATATTAGGTCAAGGTGGATTTAACATCTTTGAAATATTTTCTCAAGTATATTTATCATCCTGAAATATTTTGTGGTGTATTTGACACTCTGAAGTAATTTTTAGATGCATCTAGCACCCTCAAGTATTTTTTTGTTTTAGTACTAGATGTACCAAAGTATATTTTTGGATGTTAGAAGCATCTAAAAAAATAATAAGGGTGCTGAATACATCAAAAAATACTTTAAGATGCTGTATGTACTTTAAAAAAATACTTCAAAATGCTAAATGTACTACATGATACTTTAAGGTATTAGATACATTTAAGAAAATACTTTAGGGTGTTGAGTGCATCTTAATTGTATGATATTTTTTTCGAATGGATAATTGTATGATACTTCAATTTACATTTGGATGTTTCTTGTGCACCTCAATTTGGCATATTTCAATAGTGACCAGCATAAGCTGTTTAAATAC